CTAATAGTTGGACATTGCAACTTTGAGCGAAGCTTCGCTAGCTACACGTTTTCGCACGAATCGACGGAGTGGGGCGTTTTCTCCAGCGAAGCTTTGCTGCACGAAGGCCCGTCTACAATACACGGAGTAAGAAGTAAGAGTAAGAAATTGACCAATTACATATGTACGCGGCAGAGCTCTTAGCTTTTAGCGCCACGTCACGTACGCGGAAAGCGAAGATACTGATGTTTCGAGATAAAATAACCATACTGTACTGTGGGATACTTTTGTAAAAATGAATCACAACGATCTTGCCTTGCTTTGTGGCTACGAAGAAGGCAAAGACGACAGAAAGTCAAAAATCAAGAATGCAGAACAGCACGATGGTGGGTTCATCCTATTATACGTCATTTTAAAGGTGCTTATGATAGTGCTTGAACTTTGACGTGACCCAGAACGTTTTTTCAATTTCCACCGCATGTCACCTCTTCAATTTGATGAATTATTAGAAATGATAGAACCTGTTATTACAAAAGTACGCTTGACAAGGGAACCGTTGCATCCAGGACTACGATTATCATTGACATTGCGATACCTTGCATCTGGGGATAGTATGATAAGTCTACATTATCTTTATCGCGTAGGTAAATCTACTGTGCCAAAAATAATTATGGAAACAACGGAAGCGCTTTGGCAGATACTACAGCCTCAAGTACTTCCTCCACCAACTGTACAAACATGGACTAAAATCGCAGAAGATTTTACAAATAAATGGAATTTTCCCAATTGTGTCGGAGCAATTGACGGGAAGCATGTTGTTGTACAATGTCTTAAAAACACTGGATCAGCTTTTTATAATTATAAAGGCACGTATAGCACTGTTTTAATGGAAGTTTGTGATGCTGATCTTCGCTTTACATATGTTAGCATCGGTTCTGCTGGTAGAGAAAGCGACGGAGGTATTTTTCAAAGTTTAGATTTTGGAAAATGCATTGAAACAGAAACATTGCCATTACCTCCACCTAAAGCCTTACCGGGTACAAATATTTGCCTTCCTGCAGTATTTGTTGGTGATGCAGCATTCCCGTTGTTAAAGAATTTATTACGACCATACCCTGGTACTAACTTGAGTCCAGAAAAAATTATTTTTAATTATCGCTTGAGCTCAGCAAGACGTACAATTGAAAATACGTTTGGAGTAATGTCAGCCAGGTGGAGAATATTCCGACGGCCGATTATTGCGTCACTTTCAACTGTAAATAACATAGTTAAATGTTGTGTAGTACTGCACAATTGGCTTCGAAATGCGGAGCTGAACATTTTGCCTGGTCAGAGAAGGTATATTCCAGTAGGATTTGTAGATTTAGAAGATCGCTATGGAAACGTAGAAGCTGGTCAATGGCGAAACGAAGAGCCACCTGGTGCACTTCGATGTTTTGCATCAAATGTATCAAGAAATTCTGAGAATGATGCCAAAGTAATTCGACAAATGTACACAGACTATTTTATGAAAGAAGGCGAAGTACCTTGGCAATGGAATAAGCTCTAACTTTCAACGGAAAGCATATATGCAATAAGCAAAAGGTAAATTGGAACACATAATTTGTAAAATATGCAATCGATCAAATTTTATTTTGTTCTTCTGCTACAACTTGAGAAAGCGCTTGTAATACAAGTGTTTTTAAACGTAATTTCGCATTTACATTTAGATGCTGTGAATCCCGCGATATAGACAAATAGAAAAGATCGTCCGAATTCATAGTGTCAATCGAACTTCGTTTTTGTACCAAGTTTAAAATTGCCTCATCAACCGCATTTATGTGCGTATCAGATAATTGTCTTTTTGCTGAAAAAAGAAAAGAAACTAAATACTAACCGAGCAAACGTAACGTACCTGTTAGTTATAATTTCCCACTCAACACTCGTTATATTACATTTATATTGTTGAGTGAGAAATTGTAACTAACATGTATGTTACATGTAACTTTATGTTTGCTAGGAACGCACTGTATAAATAAGATATTCAAATAAATCAGTTATAGAATAGAAGCACTGCATAAACTTAATTACGTAATTTAAATATTTGTTCAAGTTTAATAATTTAAATTATTGAACTTGAACAAAAATTTGAATTATTGAACTTGAAAGTTATATTTAAATCCATACAAGATTAAAGATTTAGCTACGAAGATCTAATTATGATCGGAATAGGCTTTTCTATATCGAATTGTGTATTCACGTTATCGGTCTTTAGGAGCTTAGCTTATTTCTATATTTGTGTGTCATGTATTTTCAAATAAAGAAATACAATAAATTTACTTCGTTTTGCAGGTTGGATCTGATTTTGTTGAGGTTGGTTATCTACTGTACGAGATGTAGCTCTCAGAGGAGGCGTGGCACTGTCTCGAAGATATGATGCACTCGAGGGACCAGGTGAAATGCTCGGAGTACGAGATGGAGCTCTTACAGGACTAGGCAAGGTACAATTAGAACGAGGCGAGGCACTATTAGAACGAGGCAAGGCACTGTTAGGGCGAGACAAGGCACTGTTTGGACGAGACAAGGCGCTATTAGGATGAAACAGTGATCTGAAATTATGCGGTGAACAGAATTCTGTTTGTTCTGGCTGTCTGGTATTAGTATCCCACGTATTGTCCACTGTAAAATAATGTTTAAAAATATGTAATAAAATATTAAAGTATGTAGTATCATATAGGACAAATTTCCCGTGGTAGGCGGGATATATAAGTAATATATATAAAATAAATTGTACAATTTTTCTGTGTATACAGTTATTTAAACAAATATTTTTTGTTCCATTTACCTTGAAACTGTTCTTGTATGTTATGCACATTATCTTCTGTTTCAAATGTCTCCGATGTTGCTGGTGACAACGTATCGATGAGTGAGGGGCGTTCAATATTAAAACTTTCACAGTTTGTTATAGTTCTAATAGAGAAATTATAAAATAAAAATACTTTTTGTGAAAGGACATTGTTTATAACAATAAGAGGAATTGACAATAACGATGGTCATTCAAATTACAATAAAACTTTATGAATTTTGCTATGCTACTACAACTATAAAATCACTATAATATTTGTATATTTATATAAAGTAACACTTACTTGCGAGGTTCCACCACATCTGATAAAAAACTTAAACTTGCCATAAGTGACCATGGAGAAAATTGAGTAGCTGCTTGTCCACTTTTTGTTATAGACTTTTTTTCTCCTTTATATATCGATATCGAAGACTCCTCCATCGGTTCTTTACAAATTCATCTGTTTAAATGCATCATAATTTTTTATTATTGTTAACATATACATTTTTTATATGTAAGAACATGTTTATAAATGATTTCAATTTTAGAAGTAATTTTATTTTAAGAAAGCTTTTATCGGTCATAGCCAGATCTCCATGCTGAAATTTTATGTGTGAATTTAAAATTATTGGCGCACCGTTTCATGAACTTGAAAATGTATATAAATTCACACATAAAATTTCTGGCTATGACCAATAAAAGCTTTCTTAGGCTGGTATTCATAGTCAGATCTTATATGCAAGAGTGTCTTAAGTACGGTCTTAAGAAGTCACAAACCAATCAGAGGGCTGCATTAGCGTCTTAAGACATTACTTATGACGGTCTTGAAATAAGAATCGACTATGAATACCAGCCTTACTTTCGAGTTATGTTCTCACGTATCAGTTGTGTACGAATAGGGATTTAGTTTAATTTTATTTTGTTCTGATGAATACTGATATTGGTTCAAGAGAATATAGCTTATAATATTAAAATTATAATAAAAACTCAAGAAACTTTATTCAATTTGTATTCTTAATCAATGTTTTTCGAAAAGGGTTAAGAAGTTTATAATACATTTTTTTTAGAGAAATACTAAAAATGTTATTGAGACAATACATACCAGTCATATTAAGTTCTTGAGCCACTTCACACCACAATTTTTTTTTTATAACGTTATCTCTATATTGTTTGTTTTTAAAATCCCATAATTGCGGACGGCTTCTGACGTAGTGAATTATAAGTTCATTGATATCCTCACAATTATATTCCATATACGATGAATTTTCATCATTGGTAAATTCCATGCTTGTTAGCTGGTTTGTTTCATACAAATTATACAGAATACAACATAACCTACAAAAGTTCTCCATAAATTCACTGCAAGTTCTGAAAATTGATACTTCACGTTACACATACACACAAACGCACGCACAATATACACATAACATTCATTATAAATAATTAAATTATAAATTTAATCTTTCAGTACTTACACAACGGAATGTAGTCAAAGTCTGTGAGCATTCAGTAATTTTCAAAGTTCCGAAAATCTTCGACGATTCCCGACTTTAGCCGAATGATGTGCGGTAGCATGCGGTAACTGCAAAAAATTGAAATATTTTGATCTTGACGCAGTGTCGTGAATATAAGATCCGACTATGAATACCGGCCTTAGCTTTACTTCTTAGGCTGGACTCTGGAGTCCCATGAGGTGTATTTACCGCGTATCGCGTAACCGCGTAACCAATCAATAATCAGTAAAACGCGAAACCACAACAGCGGATC